CTTCCGAACGGCCAGGCAAAAGATGAAGTGGTATTACGGATCGACAGCGCCAGGAGAGCCTTTCTCCAGCTAAGACGAACGCTGTGGACTCGCAGTGAAATCAGCTTAAGAACCAAAACTCGTGTTTACCGTGCTGCCATCCGGCCCGTACTCATCTATGGCTGCGAAACCTGGCCACTACGAGCTGAGGATACCAGAAGGCTGGAGGTTTTCGACCACTGGTGCCTGCGGCAAATCCTCAAAGTCAAGTGGCGCGACAGGGTGTCCAACGACGAGGTAAGGAGACGATGCTGTGATATCGATGCTCTCCCCGTCCTCCTCCAACGTCGACGACTTCAGTGGTTCGGCCATACGCTTCGGCGACCCGAGTCGGAGCTAACCAAGCAAACACTCTGCCCCACTCCCTGCCCTGGTTGGCGTTGTCGCCTTGGTGGGCAGCTCAAAACGTGGACCAGTACAATCGAGAAAGACGTAGAGCTTCTAGGCCTTCGGTCAGTCTATGGAGCCCGGCGATGGAAAAAGGACTGGATCAAGATCTGTACGGAGCTCGCCTCCGACCGCCGGGCGTGGTCAGCAATGGTTCGTGATATCCATGGAGCCGACTTATCCTCTCGCAGGAGATAGTCACGTAAAAGTAAAAGTAAAATGCCTCCCAAATAGCCATTGGGGCCGAATCGCTACAGATTGTTAAAGGAGCCAGACAGCTGTCGTCATTTTTCTTTCAAAAGTGCAACCGCCACAGATTCGTTACAGCACCTTTGGCCGTGAATTGTTTGCAATCTACCTTGCCTTAAAACACTTTCGACACATTTCGGAAGGTGGAAGATTTGTCGTCTAGACCGATCATAAGCCTTTGGCTTATGCATTGGCTTCAAGCAGCGATCGTTATTTGCCAAAGGAAACCAGATACCTCGACCACATTTCCCAATATACCACCGATATAATGTATGCACAGTGGTCCAGCAATCTTGTGGATGACGCCCTCTCTCGCCCAGGTATGCATCCACTTACCGACCCAACGGTATTCAGTTGGTCCGAGATGGCACAGGCTCGAAAGAATGAACAAGAACTTCAGAGCTACCGCTCATTGTCCTACCTGATTTTAAAAGACTCACCACTACCTGACGGAAATGGTAAAATTGTTTGCGATGTCTCCACTAGTAGGCCTCGCCCGTTTGTTCCCTGTTCCCTTCGTCGCTTGATTTTTACGCACTTACATTCCATATCCCATCCTGGAATTAGCTCATCCATCAGACTTGTGTCCGATCACTATGTTTGGCCGAATATGAATAGAGACGCTCGCGTTTGGTCTAGAAGGTGTACACCCTGTCAACAGAGCAAGATTCACCGACATGTACTTTTCTCCCTCACAAACAATTCACGTTTTTCTCATGTCCACTTGGATATTGTTGGTCCTTCACGACCGGTCGACGGATACCGTTTCCTCCCCACATGTGTAGATCGTTTTACGCGTTGGCCCATGGCTGTCCCCACAGCTGACACCTCCAGTGAAACCATTTCCAATACACTTCTACAGCACTGGACTTATGTTTGCTGTTCCATCCACGATCACCACTGATAGAGGTGGACAGTTTCAACCCAAACACTCCCGTGATTTTACTTTTCCCCTTGGATTTCAACATATTCATACAACGGCATACCACCCATCATCCAATGGATTAGCGGAAGGCCTTCATAGAAAATTAAAAGCTTCTCTGACCTCCACATCTCATTCTGATAAGTGGACGGACGCCCTTCCACTAACCATGTTGTCCATACGCACCACCCTAACGGAAGATTTTGAGTTTTGTCCCGCTGATCTCGTGTTCGGCACACCCCTACAATTGCCCAGTGAGTTTTTCGGACGCAATCCTGATGTTACTGACCATTCCAATTTTGTTCGGCGATTAAAGTTGTGCATAAAATCACTCCGTTCCCTTCCAACTCGGTCCTTCATTCGTCTTCTTACATTCCCAAAGACTTAACTACGTGCTCCCATGTTTTTCTTCCTTGTGATGCTGTTAAACCCCCGTTGCATCCAGCACACTCAGGTCCGTTTCGCTTCATTTCCGGTAACGAAAATTCTTTTTGTCATTGATAAGGCTGGTCGACCAGACACTGTCAGTACTGATCGTCTCAAAGTAGCGTATATTGATTCGGACTAAATAACTTCAGTTACCTCCATGAAAACTTCTACTTCTATTTCCAATGATGCCAGTTCTTATGTTCCTAACGATCTGAGTACTCCACAAGACTGCCACTGGCCCTCATCTCCTAACCTGTTACGACCGCAAGGATGCTAAGCCTGTTCCTTTTCAAATCCCACAGTTTTCTTTTCCGCGAGCATCTATACACATTTGACCGATGCTCTGGGGGGAGGGTTCCTGTAGAGATTCTATTGATTTTTACTCCTCGGTCCGGACACTTACCGATTCGATTTTTTTCTCAGCCCCGCTAAACAGTCCACCGTTGTTTGCTTTGTATGCCTAACGATCAGCAGTCAGCTGACTCTGCTGACGCCCGGACACGCACGTACGGTCCCTCCGTGCATGGATTCGATCATTCGCAATTGGAATAAACGTGTATGCAGTTACCGCGCAAGCCTTATCCCTACAGACAGTCCAGCTATCTTAAACGACATAAGGCTGCCTGACCGGATGGGTTGCCTCCGTCTATTTTCAAAGACGATGGCCTAGCACTTTTACTGGAGTTGATATCACTCCGCGGTTTGATACGGGATAGGGAACAAGTTCCATAGTTGGCGTGACTCGGTGATCCTACTGATTTATAAGGTGACAGGTCACACTTTGCGGGCCAACCACATCGCAAAGGGGTTATTCATTAGGAACCCTCAACACTCACTCATAAAGCAGTGGGGCCTTCATTCATCACCGGAACGTAACCGAGGCACTCATGGAGGAGCTTCCATTCTGTTAGGTGAGAATTTTGTTTCTTTCCCGTTGTCTTCGTTAATGCCGCATTTCTCGGTTCACTATTCGGATTTATCCGCCAGCCCCATGCACCTGATGGGGCAAGTAGAAAGCGAACAGGGCACAGTCCTTGGGCGGAAAATCCTGGGTGGTCAACAGCTGTCCAGTTAACTGCAACGAATTCTTCCATCATCGACAGACCCCTGCGAACTCCACTCCCAAGTCAATCTCGTGGTTTTCTTTTTTTGGGGAGGGGGACCTGCTCTTCCATGTTGATTTTCCTGAATATTCTCTCTAAATGAAACAGTGAATGACTGCACAAAAACCGCCAGCTGGTTCCGATAAATAAAACTTCGCACGGCCTCAACTCACTGACCTTGTCGTGATGGTCACTAATAAGCCTAGAAGTGAACCGCGCGATACGCAACACGTCTTCTTTGGCCAGCCCTTCCGTATTGCCGTGACGGACCAACTCATTATCAACACTAAATATTTTTTTACTTTACTGCTGCTGCCTCTTCGGAGAGGATAAACCGGCTTCAATGATGACACGATCATGGAGTTTCAGGGGTGCTTGACACAGACGTCCCCAGCGCCGCTCAGCTTTATTTTCGAAGGCGCACTTCTGGCCTTTGCATCACGAAGTACGGGCTGCAAGACAGTACCATGTTGACGCATGGTTGCCGACGTCTCCCTAACAGCCCGTTCACTATTCGACCGTATTGAATCCAATCCAGAGATCCATGCAGCCCTGCTAGTTCGAAAGATTTCCCTCACAGCCGTTGGATAATACAGTAAATCTCGTCTGACCATTCATGATAACTGTCTTCGCATGCCGAACACCGCTCCACCGAAGTTGTTGGATCTCGGTTACCCTCAACCTGGTTTAGCCAGTCTGTCGAGCAGTTTGCCGGGGTGTGACCGCTGATGCATGCTTCAGCTTCGTGTAGTCACGGGTGAGAGCTGGATACCTGGTGGAGACCACCGAGATAGAAAATACCCCAAGGGCACGGCAATCTACCCAGTCCGAGGTGTTACTCCTATCAGACACCTCATACACCCCGTTAAATAAAGACCAAAAGCGTTTTCTTTTCACCCTAGTTGTATACTCAGACTGCAAGTTCAGTACGATGAAAGCACGCCAGTCATTTCAAGACACATCTCAACTGGTAACCCCCAACTAAATTTCAACCAACTTGCTGAATCGGTAGGATGTGATAGTGGGAAGGGGTCATGCTGCAGAACCCAACTGAAAGCGCTGAGTAGATAAAGATCACATGAACAAATGTGCCACTGATCTCAAAATCTGGTGACTCCAACTACGGAATCAAGCCCGTACCAAGTCTTCAACAAATAATCACCACATCAAAAGTGAAAGTAGTATAAACTTGAGTCGAAGCATGCATTGGACTGATGAGCAGTATGACCCGAATGAGAGGAAAGATGGGAAAATTGGTTGGTTTGAAGAACTTAGCGGGGAATGCAATGACATGAGCTGACATAAGCGTCAGATAAATAGAGTCTAATTGGAGCCGCAGGAAGAAATTCGATGAGGCCTGAGGACAAGTTGGGCCGGTTACATCTGATTTTTGTCGCATCCGCATTATTGTCGACATGGGTTCACAGGCTTGCAAAAAAAATAAGTAAGCTTAGACCGGTAGGAATGCAAAAAATGATCTGATTGGGCCGATACCATAGACTGAGCGAATATTAACCAGGGAAGGGTAAGAACTGTGGAGTTAACGTCAAACTGCACTACTTTAGAGTGGTTATTCCTCGAGAATAGTGCTCATGAAGTCACGGTGAGGTCGAATAACGGGTAAAACGGAGTTACTTAAAAGATTGGTCCAACATTCATCACATGGTTTAATTAGTGGTTCTTGCGCTAAACCAGCATGGTCTAGAGCGAACAAGTGATCTTCACTTGTTAGAGTAAAAAGAACTCAAATGGTGTGGGATCGAGTAATATAGATAAAACTGAAAAGTGATAAACCAGAAGGCGTTAGAACGACAGTGCGACTGGAGGAACGGATCTGAATCGGAAGCAACGTTCAAAAGTGAACGATCTATTCATTTTAGTAGTTTGCTGGCCTGTTCGTTTGCCTTTTTGATGCGCTCAGCGTTGGAACGAGCCTGAAAAAGACAAAAAACGAAAGTGCTGAGAGGAGAACCAAAAATGAACGAAGACATTCACTGCATCAAAAGTTTTCAATGTGTTTAGATGAATATGTACTGGATACTACAAACCTCGAGGAACCTTGATTAATGAATGGTTGCAGTGAATGGGTCAAAACACAGAGAAATAGGAAAGTAAGATAAATTGGTTTACAACCCTACACCGTAGCACACGAGCGATCTCTTCAACACCATTTATTGAGATATTACCTTTATTTGTATCCTCTCAACCTGAGCATTTTGTTGATTGATCTCGCTTCCCATATCAATCGCCATATTGCGTAGATTTCCGATCATACCAGATACTTCTTGTAGATTGTTATCCATCTCATCTTCACGAGCATCGTTAGTAATACTGAAAGTAATCATCAGATGCAGAACGAGACATCAAAGTAAACTTCTATCGATAAATCCGAACTTCATCAAATGAGTAATAAACGCCTGAGGCGACGACAATAAAATCCTACACAAAACATTTCTGCTACCATTACGCCGAATCAGAACACTCCGTGGCAAACAGATCTGCTTTCGATGCTTGATAGCAGTAGTTTCAGTTTCAGTTTACTCAGCCATCACTTTGCACTTTTGTGCCCTGGTTACGGTTGCCACCTTCCAGCATCCTCCAGTCAAGGGCAATCAGAATAGAAGCATGAAGTGGAAGAGATCAAAAACATCAGAGTAGTAAGCGGAAATCACGAAGACAAAGAAAGAGTCCGAATGCAACTACGCCACTGGCTGCGACACTCAGATTTATCACTTATTGTCTCCAACCAGTTGGTAGGTGGGTTACGTGGACCCAAAACCTGGAAGTCTAACATGTCCAACGTGACCAGGTTCACCGGTCAAGGTTTCCATACATTTAGCCACGTCACGGACTAACCACCTCGACCTACCTTACAATCACTACCATTTCGGTTCCGTCGCACTAACTCTAGTGAGAACCCGGTACTGCCTCAGAATCACCTAGTTTTATTACAGAAAAACAAGGTATATATATTAGGCTGCTGTCACACGTGCTTAAAAGTTGCACACAACGCCCTGGTCTGCCCGCTCTGGGCGGCTCCGCTTGAGGCGTAGACGGCTGTCTTGCCGCTCATGGTTCCGTGGCCACGGTGAGAGCCAGCGCTAACGCACTGCCTGCCAGTTCCCTCAACTTTTTATTCAACCTCTCTCTCCTGTCCCCAACCACCTCGCTTTGTCCCATCTATCCACGCATAATGCTCCTACTGATAACACGGTCGATACTCGCAACGATTCACAGTCAAATAATGTCGGGAATAATCCTCCGTCTTGTAACTCATATTTTCTCAAGCCTCTTAATCTCGACTCCTTCAACGTGCGTACACTCATGCAGGCCAGTCAGCAGGCGTGCCTAGCCCTCACAATAAATTCTCTGGAGATTGATGTCCGCTGCTTACGTGAAACGCGTATCTAGGATCCGAGCAGTGTAATTCAACTAACTGCTCGTGGTATCTCATCGAGGTATATTCTGCGCACCTCAGGAGACGAAGCAGCTAGAGCTGTGGGTCAACGTGGTGTGGGAATTATCTTGACTGAGAAGGCCGAGGCTGCCCTTTTAGACTGGATCCCAGTTAACAGTCGTTTATGTGCTGTGAGACTCCAAGGGTCACTCGGTGGTCGAAAGGATAGTTGTGTTAAGCGCAATTTGTTTGTGATCTCGGCGTACGCCCCAACAGACTGCAGCTCAGAATTGCAGAAAGATGAGTTCTATGATAAACTCGCCACCCTCGTTCGCAGCAGTAAAGGTTCCGACATTGTAGTGCCAGCTGGTGACTTCAATGCACAAGTTGGCAAACTTAGTACTTCAGAAGCTTATTTAGGTGGGCGTTGTGGTTTACCCGCTGACCGTACAGATAACGGGGATGGACTTCTCCAGTTTTGTGTACACAATCGATTGTTCTTGTCTAACACCAATTTTCGACACAGCTCGCGTCGCACAGCGACATGGCGCTCTAACTCTACAGGTACTCTAAGCCAGATTGGTCATATCGCCGTAAGCTACCGGTGGCGAAGTTCTGTTCAGAAGTGCAGATCTTACTGGTCCACGTACGTAGAGTGGGACCATGCATTAATTTTTGTGATTATCTCTAGCTCCATGGTCATCGTCGCAAACCGCAAACTCGGTTTGTTGTGCAACGTATGTGTGATCCAGAAGTCCGCACCCGGTATGAGCAGAAGTTAGCACATGAACCAGAATCTACGACGAACAGTAATGTAGATGAAGATTGGGCTTATATCAAGCAGGCAATGCACGTGGCAGCAGGTTTCGCCTGTGGTCCTCGATCCGTTGTCCATCAAAAACACTGGATCTCGCAAGAGTCGCTGAGTATGATGGAGCAAAAGCGTCAGCCCTCGAACCGTAAGAAGATGAATAAGATGGGGAGAAAGCTGCGAAGACAAGTCACGAAAAGCCTTAAGAATGATCGTGAAAATTGGTGGGTCAAGGTAGCCGAATAAATGCAAATAGCAGCTGCTTCAGGTAACAGTCAAAAACTGTTCAAACTTATTCGTGACACGGGTGGACGACGCACCCGTGTCACTGAAACGTTTCGCGATAGAAATGGAGAACCCATCTATGGCAAACAGCAAAGGCTTGACCGATGGGCCGAGTACTTCAAGGAACAGTTTAGCTGGCCGCATGCCAGTGTAGTTACTCCTGTGTCAACAACTGTGACTCGTTGGGTGGTATCACTTGAGCCCCATCGGAAGTGGAAGTGAAGTCGAGCATTGGATTACTGAAGCATGAGAAAGCGACCGGTCCCGACGAACCTCGCCCAGTTCTTTACAAATTGGGTGGATATGCTTTGATGAAATCACTTACCGTCTTGCTCCATGACATTTGGAGCGAGGAGGGCCTGTGTGCAGATGTTCGTCGTCTTAAGGTTTTCGACCAGCGATGTTTACGTAGTATCGCTGAGACTGGGTGGAATGACCGAGTGAGCAATGCTGAGGCCAGAAAGCCAGTATTGGGTACTAATGCAGTGAATATTCTATCACGGCGCATACAGGTTAGTAGACTTCGTTGGCTCGGATACGCGTTACATATGACAAACACACGTCTACCGTACCGTGTCCTATTCTCCGCCCCTCTTAGGGAGTGGAAAAAACCACGTGAAGGTCAACAGATGACGTGGCAGCGAGGAATCAGAAAATATACTACGAACTTAGGAAAAGTAGGCGCCACACGTCTTCCTGGTTCGGGTCCAAAAGATCCGTCTACCAGTTGGCTGGAAACACTAACGGATATGGCAGCGAACCGTGAACAGTGCCGATCGTGTTGTCACTTTCAGAATGATTGATCAATACGTGTTTGTACCGTCAGACTGTGCATTCTGTGTGTTGGCTGTTACAGCGTTCCTTCTTTTGCCCACCCCTGTAGGTCCACTCCCTGTCCATCTTGTATATTACTACTTTCTAATTCAACGTGCAACATGGCGACATAGGTAGTGGTAAGTGGGGCTTGGTCTGCTGTTCAACGCTGTACGATGTTGATGGTTGTTGTTGTGTCTGCCAGTGAGATTAAACCGCTCATCAAATGATGTGTTGGACCATACCCTCACACTACCGGCCCCAGAGAACAGCGTACGCCGAGGAAATTCATCGATGGGCATGTATAACACATATGCTAGTCACCTCAACCTGTTTAGATTCAGTACATGATCTACAGAATGACCTCTGGTTCCTAACAAATTACGCCTTAACCTCAACATTGCTGATATGGTGTTACCACCATACTCGGGCAATGCTATGGGGATATCGGTGCTCAAACACCGGCGCTCATCTTGACAGCAGCAAATTTCATAGATTAAAAAAATCTATCATCGTGATGACGGGAGTTGATGATTGCATGTCTACATAGTAACGATGTTGTCATTGGTGTCACGACAGATGTGTGTTGATGACTGCCGATTGCTTGGGCTTAGCGACTACGTCACATGATCTTGCGCCGACGGCCAGGGTACATTCAGAAAAGCTTCGTATAGTCATCACTGAAGTTAACGACGGGAAGCGAGATTGTGCATGCCAATAACTACGACTGAGGTAAAGTAGGGAGAACTATCAGCTTATCAGCGGCAAAGTAAGCATTGCTTCGATCAAACTACTCTTGGGATCAAACTTCATAGCCATTGAAGCCCAAGCAAAGTTGAAATGAGTACTGCAATTGCATGATACTACAACGCAAACCACATCTACAAGTTCACAGCTGATCCATGAGCCATAGGATACCAGCAATTCCAAACTTGCACGGCTCAAGAAAAGCTGCTAGAAGCGCAAATTACTCTGTGGGATTAGCAAACCGGTCCCCGTTCGAAGACGGTAGATATATATGGATGATTATCGACAAGGATGAAACAGCTGTAGTGCATCCAAGATGAGGACAGGAATGTTGATACTGCGCTTTGAATCGGTATTTAACAATTCGAGATCGCTCAGTATCTAAGGTCATAAAACAAACGGAAAATATGCACGAACCAACAATACATATCCGATTTGTTTCGGAAGCCGATCACCTCGTATCTAATTTATTTTAGGATGACCTAGAAATAAGCCTAAAATCGCTGGAACGAGTTTGTAACCCAATCGGTGTTGATCTGTAGGTATTCCGTAGGATCGTTCAGACGCAAAAAATTCAAGCACAAACAGCTAGTAGACAAAGCGAGGGAAGATAAACTGAAATGAGATATACTGAAATATCAGAACTCAACGCTTCAGTGACTTTGATTACCGGACACATATCCCGCAGACTACAACCTAGGTAGCTCAACAGAACTAAAATGGTCGAGTACCTTATTACACTGCTACAGCACAAACGGGCCACTCATTACAAATAACCTCGTTAAACAATCTATGCTGAGTTCAGTCGAAACATGTTTCAGACAACGTAACACAATAAAACTGAGCACTCGATTTAACGGTTGACCCGGGGCACCCAACACTATGCAACTCAGAATAAATGAATGAAAAATTAATTTTCCAGGTCGCCAAATGTGAGCGAGTAATATTTTAGTCAGCGGAAGTTCTAAGATATCCGTGCGATAAGTTGCGATTAGGAGGAAATAGTGAAACAATATCATACGACTTAAATACAAAACATTGTGTGGTCTCGTCATGTCCAAAGGAGAAAGGATTAGGCGCTTCCTATCTTGGTTAGAGATCACAATACGACTCAGTGCTCATCCTGAATGAATCGGCATATATATTATGCTGTCTATCACTATATTACACTGAGCCTGGAGTCACGCATGATAACAACACCACAAATACAGAAATGGGTAACATAGAGGGGAAAGCAAAAACAAACAAAATACATTTTGGCTGTTTCAACGCACGCATTCCTCGATTTTCTGACATTTTGCTCAATTTTTATAGGTTTTGACAATTCCGAAGCACGCCACACAGTATCCACCCAACCCGCTTTGGTTTTGGGCCACATCCTTCACTGTCTCTATCCAATGACAATCTTTATTCATATAGCCCGACCAGAATCGGGACGCACCAGCTGAGGCCAGTGAAGACGTACACTTTTTTATACCCGAGAAACTAAATCCTGTTATGACTTAAAATAACAAAGAAGTTTATAGCACTTTGACTGTGAACCTACTAACAAGTTACAAATTCGTGCCGTGAAGTCTGATTACAATCAATATTGACTTATTCGAGCAGAGAGCAACTGATGACTATCAATCTGAAGAGACATCCAAGGAGTGAAGTGAGCTGACTTTGTCGATTAAAATACACAGCAATATGAGACCATGCACCGACACTGTTCAGTGGTAGTGCGCAATTTTCTTATAGATAATATGTGAATAAGTGAATGTACGCTAAAAAGTACTCACTACAGGTCTTGAAAGATAAGCAAAGAAAAGTTTCGTATTCTGATACACTTACCGAGTAATGTACCCGCCGGTGGGTCCCATGCCGTTCTGATCAACGATGATCCGAGGACCATCACCGCCACCCCGCATGTCTTCATCTTTCAGCTGCTTTGTGTAATCATCCTTCTTCTTCACTCTGAAATAAGATAGTGGAAGCACTGTCTACAGAGGACAACTCGTGGAAAAAATAACCCCGGTTTTAAAGTCTATAACGATAAACATCATCACCCGGGGGGTCTACGCCCATTCTACCATTAGGAAAAGTCGGTTACCATGACCTAGACATTTGGACTGGCAAGCAACGGGCCTATTTCATTGATGGTCAGAACCGAAATGGTCCGAAAATGTGGCTGAATGGGGGGTGACTTTGTGCCACATGTGTCATGTGTACTATACCAAACAAATGAAAGGGCACCCAGGAAGTGAGGCCTCGACCAAAGGGCGTATGAACTGAGCAATCGGTCACCGACCCCAGTAGGTCACACACCCCACGCTTCGCCCAGTTGCTTTGTGGGTTAAGCTATGAATAGCTTAGGGCTCGAATTGAAGACCCTTAAGAAAATAACAACGCCAAAAGGTGTCGAACTTTTCGCAGACTGATCATACTATCCCCGCAGAAATCAAATTAGTACGACATCCCGCCGTAGGCAGAATTCTTCTACGAACTGACAATGGAGTAATCCAGCAACTGTTAAATCTGACAGGCCGTACTCCACAACTTTTCTTGTTTGACTGTCACTGCCCTTCTGTCAAAACTTGGTCAAGATATGAGGCCAGCAACTGGGAGAGAATAAATGCCAAAAATGAAATGGTCTTGAAAGTGATCCTGTGAGGCAGAATCAAGCTGGAAATACACAGTTGTGGTCCACAGGGACAGCGTGCACGAAGCCATCGGACTCTCGTCCAGTTGGCTGGGCGCTTGTGCAGAGTGGAATATTGGTCACGAGTGATTTGTGCTGAAATAAATCGCGACGTTATTCATGATAGCTAAGTTGAGTTTATTAAAAGATTGATTTGTCGTCAGCTGTTGCGAAAATCGCTGACTTCAGCGACCCGATGAGCAGTGTTTGCTTCGTCTGCACTGAGAGTCATGAGACGCCATCAACCCACGTAGAAGACCACTGATATAGCCTGCCGGTTGAGAATAACCAGCAGGGCCGGATTAGCTCATAGATAAACTGCGTAATTTTTACAACCTTGAGACAAATCTTAGTGGTATCATGATCTGTCCGTATATCGTTTTAGAAACTGTTTGCATATCCTTGTTACGTTCAGGTAATTTTCTAAAAACCAGTACTACACAAGTTAGAATTAAAATCGCTAGAGATGGACATGCAACAAAACCACAGCAAAAGGACGTGAGATTGATCCTAAAAGATCAAAAGTAGTCCAGAAATAAGAAACAAGAAGCCTGATGTAGTTTGGTTAAACAGTCATCAGCATCATGACTTACTTTTTCCATGGCAACACACACAGGCCACAACATTTGTTTAAATCATCCAAATTCTTTTCTGCGTCTTTCATGTCTTGATTAATCTGATCCATGCCCTCATTGATTCGATCCAATTGTTCTATGAATCAGGAGAACAAGAATAAAGTGGTAAGAGATGCGTATCTGAAAGATCCTGAACCCTACAACAGCGAAAACACAACATAAATCACAATACACAAAATCTTAATGGAGAATCAATTTCTTGCAGCATTAAAGTATCTAGGTTAGGAAAATGACGGATGAACAGAAACAAAATGCGCATAGATCAACCAAGAAGGACGAAATCCCCCAGCCGGTTATTGAAATCGACCAATGAAACGAAACACGCTCGGGATACTGTGGTAATCAGAGACAGTTTTGTCCCTTAAGCAAACTTGGTATCAGATATTCAACTACTTCGTCCTGGAGTTTTCGACCAGCGATGTTTACGTAGTATCGCTAAGATTGGGTGGAATGACCGAGTGAGCAATGCTGAGGCCAGAAAGCCAGTATTGGGTACTAATGCAGTGAATATTCTATCACGGCGCATACAGGTTAGTAGACTTCGTTGGCTCGGATACGCGTTACATATGACAAACACACGTCTACCGTACCGTGTCCTATTCTCCGCCCCTCTTAGGGAGTGGAAAAACCACGTGGAGGTCAAAAGATGACGCGGCAGCGAGGAATCAGAAAATATACTACGAACTTAGGAAAAGTAGGCGCCACACGTCTTCCTGGTTCGGGTCCAAAAGATCCGTCTACCAGTTGGCTGGAAACACTAACGGATATGGCAGCGAACCGTGAACAGTGCCGATCGTGTTGTCACTTTCAGAATGATTGATCAATACGTGTTTGTACCGTCAGACTGTGCATTCCGTGTGTTGGCTGTTACAGCGTTCCTTCTTTTGCCCACCCCTGTAGGTTCACTCCCTGTCCATCTTGTATATTACTACTTTCTAATTCAACGTGCAACATGGCGAGAAAGGTAGTGGTAAGTGGGGCTTGGCCTGCTGTTAAAAGCTGTACGATCATGGTGATGACGATGATATCCAACAAACAAAACGAGCAGTACTAGTTCAGTTCAGTTCAGGCAACCGTTACCGTGCACTGGGTGCAGTGGCTTTGGTTGGCATCTCCTAGCGGCAACCTCCAAATGAAACAATGAAGCAGAAAAGAATATGAAAGGAGTAAGAGAACTATATTATTGGAATTAAATCGGTGAAGAAAGTTAGTGAATGTAAGCGCACCACTGATCGCGGCATCTAGCCATATTCCCTAACGTATCTAACTGTTGAATCGGAGGGGATCTTGAACCCCACCCAGGAAGTCTAACACGCCCTACATGGCCAAGTCCACTAGTTAGGCTTTTCATACCTTTCTTCCACGTCATGGACTGACCACTCTTACTCATCTTCCAATTGGTACGCGCCTCAGCAAACAAAGCACGCCGAGGGGTCCTTTTAGGGGACATGCGTGACACATGTCCCAACCATCTTAGCCTGGTGAGCTTGAGTGTTTCATCTAATGATTTGATCCTTGAACCCGGGACTTTCCGCCGAACCTCAGTGTTTCTGATACGGTGTTCCCACCAGATTCCAGCAATACTACGAAGACATCGGTGTTCGAATACCGACAATCTTCGTATGTCTTCCACCCATGTCGCCATGTCGCCGAACAATACAGAAGCACGGGCTGATTGCTGCAGCGTACACTCGGCCTTTGGTAGTTAAACATATGTCATGTCGACGCCACAGATGACTCAGGTTGGCAGCCGTCAAACGAGCCTTCTGTATGCGCGGAGACATCATCCGATATCCGACCTCCGGGTGAGATGCAGCTCCCCGGATAACAGAACTTGTCTACCACGTTTGTAGTCTCCCCAGACACTGAAAGGTTTGGCGTTGGACGAACCCAGTCCTGCAAGAGCATCTTGCACTTTGAAGGTGCAAAACACTTACCGAACATTGCTTTGCAATCCGTCAAGCTGTCTAGATAAGTTTGCAACTTACCTGGATCTTCACTGAGAACTATGTCGTCAGTATACTCAGTGTCTGATACTTTCCCAAACGGGAGAAGTTCAATGCCGCTATCCTCACCAGACAAAAGTACGGTCTCTAGGACCATATCAATCATAAAGTTAAAGCGAAAAGAAGGGACGGAGCAATCCTAACGTACATCACTTCTCGTGGTGAACTCGGATGGAAGATCACCCTAAGCCCGAAATCGGCTTCAGCTATTAATGTGAAGGAATTCTACGATGGAAATGAATTTCTCTGGTATACCCTTTACCAACAGACAGTGCCAGACAACTCTGCGGTCAACTGTGTCGAGAGCCGCTTTAAGATCAAGAAAAACAGAGACAGTGGACCTACGGAAGGTGTGTCTATGTTCTAAAATGTGTTAAAGAGTGAAGAGGTAATCAATACAACCTCGACCAGGTCTGAACCCAGCTTGATTATCGCGCGAGCACTGTTTGCGAGCGTTAGATAAGCGGTGGAGAATAATACCAGCGAGCAATTCGGATGCGATACTAACCAGACTTATTCCCCTATGGTTTTCAAAGGAGGGCCTCATCATCATCATCATCGTACAGCGTTAAACAGTAGGGCAAGCCCCACTTACCACTGCTTTTCTCACCATGTTGCACGTTGAATTAGAAAGTATGAATGCATAAGACGGACAGACAGTGGACCTATACAGGTGGGAAAAAGGAAAGAATGCCCTAGTAACCAACACACGGAGTACGCAGTCTAACTGTACAAACGCACATCGAAGAGTTATTCTGATTCGACAGAAAGTGACAACAAGATCGCCACTGTTCGCGATTCACAGCCATATCCTTCAGTGTCTCCAACCAACTGGTAGACGGACCTTTTGGACCCTAACCAGGAAGACGTGAAGCACTTACTTCTCCTAAGTTTGCTGGACATTTTCCCATTCCTCGATGCCACGTCATCTGTTGATCTCCACGTGTTTTCTTCCCCTCCTTAGGAGGGGCGGAGAATAGGACACGGTACGGTAGACGTGTGTTTGTCATATGTAACGCGTATCCGAGCCAACGAAATCTACTAAGCTGGATACGCTGTGACAGAACGTTCTCCGAATTATTACCAAACACTCGCTTCCTGACCTCATCGTTGCTTACTCGGCTATTTCACCCAATCTTAGCGATATCACGTAAACATCGGTGGTCGAAAACCTCAAGACGACGAATATCTTCAGCACACAGACTCCAAGTCTCGCAACCATACAACAAAACTAAACGCACTGCCGCACAGTATACACGACCTTTCAACTTCAGTGAAACATCAGGTCGACGCCATAAGTGCTTCATTCCAGCGTGCGCCGCTCGAGGCCTGGATTTCCGTATGCTCATCTCTACTACGGTGCTCCCATCCGTCGTCAAGCTGCTGTCGAGGTAGGTGAAGTGGTCGACAACTGCCAGCACCTCCTCATCCAGCATCAAGCTCGGAATTGTTGACGTCCAGTCTTGTAACATCACCTTGCACTTTGAAGGTGCAAAGCGCATGCCGAATGGAGCTACAGCTCTCCCAAGTCTATCTAGTGCACGTTGACCATGTTCCGTGCATTCGAACAAGCAGACAACGTCGTCTGCGTATTCGAGGTCACATAGCTTTTAACTATTTCCTAGTTCGATGCCTACATCCTGGAGATTTTGCAGTGCACTCTCCACTATTTCGTCCATGACGAAGTCGAACAGGAATGGAGACAGAGGCATCCCTGTCGAACACCACTGATGGTTTCGAACTGACCGGATAGTTCACCGTAAACCCTAACGCGGCCAGAAGTATGAGAATACAATGATCTCAGTAGGTTCACGAACTTCTGGGGCATACCTTTTCGATGAAGAACACTGAAAAGCGCTGCTCGATCAACTGAATCGAAGGCGTCTTTCAGGTCTAAGAAAATCATTATTCGTACTCATAAATCATTATTGTCGGTCGGCGGTGCGTGCAACGCGTCTCAAGTAGTCGGCGAAAAGTAAAAATCTGGTCGATGCATCCTCGACCTGGGCGGAATCCAGCCTGCTGTTCGCGGACATTCCTCTCGCGAGCCGGTGTAAGACAATGCATCAAAATCGAAGCTAATACTTTGAGGACCATCGTAATTAGGCTAATCCCACGATGGTTACTACAGTCATTCGGTATTCCCTTCTTGAAGATGGGAACAATCAATGACTCACTGCATATTAACGGAATACGCCCCGAGTTCCAAATGTCACGAAGCAAGACGGTAAGTGATTTTATCAGAACATTCCCACCCAGTTTGAAAAGAACTGGAGGAAGTTCGTCGGGACCTGCTGCTTCCCCCCGCCTTAGTAATCGAATACATGACTCTACTTCTACTTCCGATGGGGGCTCAAGTGATACCACCCAACGAGTCACAGTTGTTGACACAGGAGTAACTACACTGGCGTGCGGCCAGCTAAACTGTTTCTTGAAGTACTCGGCCCATCGGTCAAGCCTTTGCTGTTTGCCATAGATGGGTTCTCCATTTCTATCGCGAAACGTTTCAGTGACACGGGTGCGTCGTCCACCCGTGTCACGAATAAGTTTGAACAGTCTCTGATTGTTACCTGAAGCAGCTGCTATTTGCATTTATTCGGCTACCTTGACCCACCAATTTTCACGATCATTCTTAAGGCTTTTCGTGACTTGTCTTCGCAGCTTTCTCCCCATCTTATTCATCTTCTTACGGTTCGAGGGCTGACGCTTTTGCTCCATCATACTCAGCGACTCTTGCGAGATCCAGTGTTTTTGATGGACAACGGATCGAGGACCACAGGCGAAACCTGCTGCCACGTGCATTGCCTGCTTGATATAAGCCCAATCTTCATCTACATTACTGTTCGTCGTAGATTCTGGTTCATGTGCTAACTTCTGCTCATACCGGGTGCGGACTTCTGGATCACACATACGTTGCACAACAAACCGAGTTTGCGGTTTGCGACGATGACCATGGAGCTAGAGATAATCACAAAAATTAATGCATGGTCCCACTCTACGTACGTGGACCAGTAAGATCTGCACTTCTGAACAGAACTTCGCCACCGGTAGCTTACGGCGATATGACCAA